GCTGGATAGATAAAAAAAAGGATAAAGATTCTTTGCATTTTAAGCCTTATGATATTAATGAAAATCCTTATGATTTCCGTTTACTTTTTCGAGGAAATCGGGATGGCTTTTTAGCAATAAATTTTCATAATCAATGTGATGGCATAAAAAACACTGTTTCTGTTATGAAAATTAAAGGCTCTGATGAAATTCTTGGAGGTACATTTTTATTTTTAGGCAGAATTATTTTATTTTATTCATTAATAAACCAATTGAATTCTAATTCTGGATTTAATGGATTTAATCTCCGATCTAGGTTATAATCCAATCGAATGGAAACGCGTCGATTGTGTATGGGGAAAGACGTCTGATAGTTTCATTTTTTCTTTCCCGAATAACGACTTTCAAGATGCGATCCTTAGTCGTGTTAATGTTGTCTCAAAAGCCGTGAGCTGGGTAATTATCGAATGTATATCATTCGTAAATTTATAGACATTTGATTATTAAATACCACCATTTCTTTTGTTTAGGAATTGGAATTTGGTCCATCCTTTGGAAACGATTTAATAATGATTGGGCCTAATCTACAAAAGCGTTGTCTTTGTAACGTTTCGAATCTGCCGCAGGTATACGAGAAAAAGTTACGAACCTCTTCAGATGAATTTGAGATAGTCGACTATGAAGTATACCAAGTTCAGAGAAAGGTGTAAATATATATATTATGTTGATTAAAATTTGACTATATGTCGTTATTAATATCTATTGTAAACAGTAAATATTTATCCTTTAAATTTTATATATTTAGATTACGTAATTAATTCCTTTTAAGTGACAATTTTTCTGTCAGTTTTAAATATATAATACATATAGTTTTAAATAAGCTATTAAATTTGTATATTATTTATAATTTTATCATATAGTTTAGTTAAAATTTAGTGTAGTTATTTTTTATACAATAAAATTTAATATGGTTCTGGATGTCTATAATTAATAGTTACGTAATTTGATTTTTCAAGTGTACAACTTAAATTCGATAACAATTTTTCATAGACACAAATTTGAATCTAACCGTAAATTGACTTGTATGAAAATTCAATAGTGCATATTTTTATTGTGTAATTTTTTTAAATTTTTTTTTTTTTTTTAAAAAAAATCTAATAATTGCGAATCAATTCGAATCACAAACACAATTAAATAAATTTAAAAATTATTAATAATATATATAGTATAGAGTATATTAATTTTATTAACTTTATTAACAAAAATTTTTTAATAAATTTAAAACCATAGGGTTTAAGTTTTATATTTAAAAAATTTTTATTTATATTACCAAATATTGTTTAATAATTGTTATTATTTATTAATCAAGTAAGTTGATATATTTAAATTTTATATATAAATTTTATATAAAAAAATGATTATACCAAATTATCAATAATATAAATACTAAAATCATTACTAAGCTGGGTACAATATAATGTTTTGAAATAAGTAATGGTATCGAAAAAGAGAAGGTGATTTCACTTCTTATTTGAAGAATTTTTTATGATCCATTATTATCAAGAATCTAAAAAGATTCTGATTTAAGATATATAATAATACAAAAAATTTATTTAACTATCCCTTAAACTATCCGATTTAGTAAACAAATTTGTCTGCTAAAATAATTAGACAAAAATATAATATATAAAAAAAATTTTAATAAAAATCTTGAATCAAATATAGTATAGATTACTCCTTTTAAAAAAACTATTAAACTTACTAATTTTATATAGTTATTTTATTGTATTTATATTATAATTAATATTTTAATCAATATTAAAAAGCTAATTTAAAAATTATATTATAATATATAGCAATTAATTTAAAAATTTTAAAAATTTTATTAAAGGGTAAGCTATACTATATTTGATCTAAAATGATTATTCTAGTTAGTTATTGTGATTTCTAAAGACTTGATCCACATGTTGCACTTAACAGCCACAGTGTAATATACTTAAATTAATAGGTATAAGTTCATATAATGGCTATAAAATATGTCAATTAACCTATGCTTTCAGGTCATTTTATTTTCCTAGCATCACTCACAAAAATCTGTTTTGTAAAGTTGACTATAAAGAATCTTAGGTTTTAATAATATATTATAAAAGATATTTTCATATAATAATTGTGAAGATTTTTTATAATTGTTACATAATGATTTCTTTTTTTATATTAAATTTGACTATAAAGATTATAGTACAATTAACCCTATCTTAGTTATTTTGAAAGCAATATTAAAAAAATTTCACAAAATAATAGTTATATGATAACTAATATATAGTATATTTTTATTTTAGTTTAGAGAATATAAGAATGTGATTTAATAAAATTTTGCACAATTATAGAAAAATAGATCAAAAAAATTTTAGCAAACAAATTTGTTTACTAGACAGTTTAAGAGATAGTCTAAACTAGACAACTAAAAAAATAAAAACAAGTAGTTATACTTATACTAATAATACAACTTGAATTATAAAAAACAAGAGTCAAATAGAAAAAACAATTCGGATTATAGAAGAATTTTTAAATTTAATAATATAAAAATTAATAAAAAAAATCTACTTAATTTAATAGAAAGAAAAAAAAATAAAAAAATTTATTTTAGCAATGAATAGTTAATGGAAGAAGAAAAATAAAATTATATAATTTCTAGAAGTTTGATTAAACAACAAGCTAAATAAGTTACTTGTTAAAACAAGAGCAAAGAAGATAATATACTTAATAATATAAATACTAAATTCAAAAGTTATTAGTAGCATAAGCAGCATATATAAACAATATGTATATAGTTTCTAAATTGTATTATATATTATAGATCTCTAGATTTAAACAAAAAATAATTAATAATCTATAAATACTATTATTTTTTTTTAATATTAAGATAATCATTTTGGATTTGGCATATTTATTATTTGCAAATTAGATCAAATATTAACTTAATTTTGTTAATTTTATCTGACTTTGTTATATCAACAAGAATATAATTAGTCATATATACAATTTTAGGGGACGTCTAAAGCCGTGTCTAGTCACATAATTTTTATTTTTTAATTAAAGTTAGGGTAAGAGTTAGTTTGGGGTTAGGGTCAGGACATATCTAATAGTAAAATTGTCCTTCTGACATTTTTTATTAATGTACCAAGATGGGTTTAGACTATCATTTCTTGTATTTTTTGTGATTTTTACTTTTTTTTTGCTGTTTTTGTCTCTTTGGGCTGATCTGTAATGATCAAAATAAACAATTCTATTGGCTTTAGGTTATGTGATAGACACAGCTTTAGATGACCCCCAACTTTAGTCATTATCTATTTAAGGATTTTGCTATATCTATTTTTATCTATAGTTATTCACTAATTGCCATATCTCAGATTTGTATATAGATACTTTATTTAAACTTTTTAATTAACTT